GAGGTTCACACTGTAACACTGCCTCCCTTCCGAGCTCCTTGTCCTTGCCACAGGGAATGAGGGACCAACAACAACCACAGCTCCCCTTTGCTCCAAACTTTTATTCATTCCACAAACTTTGATTTAGTTGCTCCTCCTTGCCTGCTTCAGGCTGGACCCTGGGGATAAAGCGGAACAGGGGCTCCAGAGGAGACCACACCCATAAACACACACGGCGGTGATGTTACCTCAAGTCTATAAAGACAGGGAGCTCACTGGGGTGGGGGAAGACAGTACTTGGGGTATAGCCCTGCAGAAAGAAAGATGGAGAGATGCCACCAAGTTGGGGGTCTTTGGTGGGCAGTACAGAGGAACTGGTGTGAGATGAGAAGCAGGAGACATCTCAGATAAACAGTTAGAAAACCATCCTGATGTCCATGGAAGAGCGAGGGGAAGGAGGGCCTAGTCCAGCTAAGGAAGTGGAGCGCACGGCTAGTGGGAAAGTCATGGCAGGTCCTGACAGAGTGGACATCAGAAACAGATTTCCTACAACGGCTGTGGTACAGGGAAGGCACCCACACCCACACACAGCCACCAAACAAAGACAGAGTGTCCCAAGGGAGACTTACACCCTATGCAGCCTTAGCCTGACAGCACTTCTCCAGCCACAGGAACAATCTATGACCCGGGGCCCTGCCTGACTGAACCTTAGTCACCGTGCCACATGCTAGGCAGGGCTCAGCTTTTCCTTTCCAGTCTTAGCAATCCCCACATGCTTTCCTGCAGACCAGGAGCAGGACATCAGACAGGAATAAAGAACGGAGAGGAACTGAAGTTGGACCCCTAGGCTGAGCATAAGGGAAACCTGATTCCTAGCAGGTATCAACACTGGACAACAGAAGGGGGCGGTGAGACACTCACTATGGGCATTTCCATGTGACAGACCAGCACACATTCCTCTAATGCAGGCCACCCTAGTATAACTCAGGGCATGCCCATGCTTGCCCTTCAATCTTACTTAACAAGGACATGGAAAGAAAGGAAAAGAGCCCACCAGTTCAGGGGGGGGGTGCATATATAGACCACTAGAGACGACCGCAAACCTCGGCATCTACACGGCAGAGACCATGCCTACAGGGTCAGGGGAGGCCCTGGGATATGCTGTCTGGGGCAGGGAAGGCACAGCTATGACTGCTGAGACAGTGATGGTTTGCTGTCTGATACGATGCTCCAAGCCAACACGTACTGAGCAGCTGGCCCACTGATGAATGTGTGGCCGAGAATAGAGATGCCAGCAGGGGGAAGCTGCCTGTGGGGGTAACCCAAAAGGACAGTACTGAGACAGGGAGGAGGTAAGGGCCAGAGGAACACATTAGACAGCCAGAGGGGTCAGGGCATGAACAGCAGAGACAAGGACAGAGTCACAACCAGCAATCAAGAGCAAGTGACAATCAAGCCCTCTTCGTGCATGGACTTTCCTCATACCCACCAGGGACATATCTCCAAGGATGTGCCCATTCTCTAAGTAGCTGCTGGACATTCCAGAGACATGACCTCAGGGTGTTGTCAGGAGTCCTGGGCACGGGGTTGGGGATGGACTGAATGCCCATCTTCTCCTTAGACTTCAGCCTTAGCACAGGACAGCACAGAAGAAACCTTGGAAGTAACCCCTCCACTCCATATCCAGCCTTTCCAGAACTTTCTTTCAAATGCCTCCCGGGTCTCTTGTAACTAGCTGGGCCTCACAGATACAAGACACCCGAGAGCACTGTCAGAGTGCGGATCTGTAGACACACTGATAATTAGGACATACTTAGAGAGGGCGGCAGAAGCCTTCCTGGAGGAAGGTTCCAATGGGAGGGCAGAGGAGGTATGATGGCCTCCACGGAAAGGACCAGAACACACAGCAGAAGGGAAAGAGAATTAAAGACTAATTTCCCTGGGAGTGGGAGGCACAGCACAAAGGCCCCTGTCTATTGAGGGTCCGTCCCCATCCTGTTAGGAACAGATGCCACCAGGACACCGAGATGAGGAGGTACGGGACTTCTGTCTGAGAGATCTGTCTGTTGACAGGAAAGTAGACGCAGAAGCAGCGGCCATCAGAATCACTGTTAGAAGTGACTGAAAGCAGGCTGATCATCCGGGGTGTGTTGCACTTGGGGTACAAGCCACCTTGGGCCTTCACATGCAGAATGTCATGGTGAGAGAGGCCACACATGGACATACTTCCCGAATATTCCCTCTGAGCCCCACTGCCTAAGAGAATCTTAAGGGTAGGACGGTGCCAATGACCAGGGTGATGAGAGCCACTCTGGTCTTCGGGCTCTTCAGCCCCTACTCCTCCTTACTCTCCTCCCCCAGGACCCTCTTGCTCTCTCCTCTTGCTTCTGAAGCAGCCTATGGCACCCCCATCACCACCACACATACCCTTCCTCTCTGGAGGAATCCCTGCCACCTCCCTTCACTAGGTTGCTGGTCACCTGCCTCCAGCCCACGGCCTTCTCTGTGCCATCACTAGAAGGGTGGGTTGAGCAGCCTCGGGCTCTTCCCCACCTCCTCCCCACACATGAAAGACTTTTACATTTCTATTTCATTACATATACCTAGGTCATTCAACCCCATTCCACCCCGAGGCCAAATATTCATAAACAGTGTCTGTCTGTCTGTCTGTCTATATCTCTCTCCTTTCCCCTGTTCTCCAAAAAGGGTCTCACCATGTAGGGCTGCAACTCACATACAGACCAGCTAGCCTCGAATGTACAGAGATTTGCTGTCACTGCCTCTGGAGTTCTGGAACTAAGGTGTTTGGCACCATGCCAGGCCTAGCCCCTATCTTGTAGTGCCTTAGCACACACAGTTCTCCTGCTCTGGAGCACTGGTCCCCACCTGCCAGCCCCTTCACTCTGTTCCTAGACAGCCATGACAACCCTCCGCTCCCACTGTCCTGTCCCCTTGTCTCAGCGGCCAGGCAGGAGGAGGCTGAGCTGAAGCACGCTTCTCTACACCTACATCAGAGCTGAGGAGGGGAAAACAACCAGACCATCTGCTCACGGGACCTGAGCACGCTGGGCTCTGGGTGCTTCCTGGCAGGCCTTCTCGGCTCGCCTCCAGCTCCTCTCCTGTTCCCAGGCATTGGCTCATAGCCTCACCCTGCCCACTTTGAGAACCTGGCAGGCTGCCAGGCAGGAGCTTCCCTTAACTGCAGCCCCTCCAGGGCTCTGATCTCATTTCCCTGAGCCCCCACTGAGACTGTTCTCTAGTCTTGCCTCTTCCTTTCAATGCCATCAGAGTAGAACAGCTGGCGACAGCACGTTGCATCCCACCCTTCGCCACTGCTCAGCTTATCCACAGCAGCACCTCAGGGCCTTATCTCCCCAAAGCACTCACGGCTGATGTCACTCCCTGGGCTGTTCTCTGCACGTTGGCTCACTGCCCCAGCTCTCCCCCCGACCCTGGCTCCTCCAGGTCCCTGCTGTAGATATCTAGCTTCCTCTTAGCCTCTGCACGTGAGCTCTAGTCCCTTACCTCCAGCTGCTTCCGAGGCATCCTGCACATCTCATGACCTTCATGCTCCACGGCTCCACCACTGCAACTCACGTCTGTCATGGCCAGGGCTTGGCTTGTCACAACCTCTAACCTGGATCCTTCCTGTCCCCCCGCCCCGCTCCTGCCCCTCCCACAGCAGCTTCAGGAGCACTGGTCACACAGTGCAAACTACAGTTCCTGTGGTGTAATCAAAAGGGACATCAAGGAGGAGAGGTAGGGCATGTTTGTCCCCTCTTCCTTTCTTAGCTCATTCTAATCAAATCTCCTTCAGGGTCCCTCCAGTGACCTTCCAGGCCAGTGCCCCCTTATCCAGGTCTGTTCCCACCCCCGTCAGCACCCTGAGGTATTGTAGTGACCTGTTTCTATGTCCCACTCTTCTACTAGGTTGTAGCTTCCGTACCCAAATGTCACATTACACTCTGTGTGCCTGGGAAGGAAGAAACCAGAGAAGGAAGCAGGTTAATTTTGAAGTCTGAATAACAGTAGGCAGCCTTAACAAACTTGTCCTATGCAGTGACCCCAGAGGGCAGGCTGCATGCTGTCTCAGCCCTGAAGCACAGCTTAAGAATTTCTCAAGTGTTAGTGATGACTGGCGCTCACAGTTGACTCCCTGAGAAGCTGGTTACAGGGAACTTGATAGTGGGCCTTTTGCTGGTGGCACACAATGGCAGGCACGTGCCAGGTACAAAAGGGATGTAACCAGAAATGAGGCTTGAGTCACAGCACCATGGGCCAGCTGGACTGCTTGCTGGCTGGAAGCCAAATGCAGGTCTTCCTAGAGGTGCCTAAGATCACACATGGGATTCTGAGAACCACGCTTGGCTAGCCATTCTAGACATTCTAGCTGGAGCTCCATGGGGTTCTTTTCTTCCCCCAGCAAGTCAGGAAAAGAGCCCCTCAGCACATACAGAATGAGGATCTGAGGGAAAAAATTCAACCAAAATGTCAGCAGCACCAGAATTTCAACAGACCGGAGTTCCGAGTTAGGTGTCTGAGACAGGCGTGCCTTGCAAGGCTAAGGCACTGGTAGGTTCTCAACAAACATCTTCAGACCAAGTAAGACAGCTGCCTGGGAGTCACGAAGGCTTAATCACTTTAATAGGCATTCAAGACATGCTTCCTGCATGCCAAGGTGCCAAGTGCTGGAGGACAAAGACGTGAGGCATTGCCTCAGCTCTCAGGAAGCCATGATCAGGACTGAACAGTGACCAAGCACTTGAAGGTACAGGTACTACTACGACTGGGAAGCCCAGGGCATCAGAGCCCTCTGTCCACAAGGAAACAGGGCTCAGAAAAGGTTTCCTAGAGTCTGTCTGCCTCAGCTGGGTCTTGAAGGGTGAGGAAGCCATAGCCCCAGGCAGTGGCACAGAAAACACAAGCAAAGGACAAAAGCACCAATCACAGAGACCCTTCTGAGTCTAGGCACTGCTTGCAATGAGGGCACAGGCCAGTGAGTATCTTTACGGTGCAGATCGAAAGCCAGTCTGAGGTGGAGCGGTGACTCAGTTGGTAATGTGCTTGTTATCGAAGCATGAGGATGTAAGTGTTCAACCCCCCAGAATCCACATTAAAGGCTGAATGTGGCAGGACATACCTCTAATGCCAACAGTGGGGAGGCTCAGAGGGGCTCACTGGCAAGCCCCAGGTCCCCATGAGAGAGACTATCTTAAGAGACAAGATGGAGGGCAACTGAGACATCAAATGTCGACCTCTGGCCTCCACACACAGGAACTCACATGCACCTGCACACACACCCACAAAGGGGGAGACAAAGACATTTATAGTCCAGTAAAGGAGCCTAAAGGTCTGGGATTTACCGAGCTGCTGACAAAGGACCATGCTCTTGTGTGCTGAAGGAGCCCAGAAAGACAGAAAAATACTCCAGGCAGGAGTATGTCCCATAACTCGATTCTTCTAAGGGTTCACAAGCTTCAAGACAGGAATGCTGGAAGGGCCTTGCTGGGAAAGACGGAAGGTAACTAGAGAACAGGAACAAAGTGATTCAAGGCAAGGCCTTTGGTGAGACCCAGACAATGAGTTACACTTAGAACAGCAAACCAGATTTTATTCATAATGGACTCACCCATCAGTAAACCAGAGTCTCTGAGCGTGCAGAACCCAATTAAACAGTGGGAGACAGTCACATACCTGTAATCCCAGTGCACAGGTGGCCGACTCGGGAGGATCAGGAGTTTGAGGTCAGCCTAGGCTACATAGCGAGAGCCCGTTTTAATAAATCAAAACCAAGCTTGGAGATAGAGTTCAGTGGTTAGAATACTTTCCTAGCACTAGACAGGAGGTCCTAGGTTCAATTCCCAGAACCACAAGACAGACGGCTGAAAAATCAGGCAGGACAGAGTTTCAGAAAGTTTGGTGGTCTGTCACTTGCAAAGGAAAACATGTCAGGTCAGAGGGAGCAGTAGAGCTTCCACAGACCACAGAAAAGTGCTCTGAGGCTGTGGGCGGACAGAGGCTCCTGTGGCTGGACCAGTTTTCCCTTACCCATGCGGCCCCACAATGTGGAAGAAAGACTATGGAGTGGATGCCACAGGCTTGGACTCATGGCTGTCTCTAAGGCTGGCTACACAGAAGCTGGAGGCCTGCAAGGAAGGCAAGGCAAGCTCCGAGTTCTAACTGTGAGAATGCCAACCCATGGTTTAGAGGACAATGGGCTCTTCTGAGCTAAGTAGCACCCAATCTAGAGGTTCCCCAAAAGGCAGTCAGGAAAAACCCCTGGAAGGCAATGGGGCCAGGGAAGGTTGTACGTCCAGCACTCAGGAGCTCCCCTTTTACTTAACAGAAGCTGGGTCTGACAAGAACACACAACCCATCAACTCACTCTACTCCACCTGGAAAGCGACAGGTTACAAACCAGACTTCTCTTCCCTTATTTAGTGTCTTCAGGGCATAGTATCAGGAGTCTGTGTGTACAGCCCAACTTACCTCGCAGCTTAAATGCCACTTGGGAACATTCCCCACTCTTAAGCCCCATGTACACTCTTTGGTTTCAGCCCTGGAGACACTTACCCAGTGTCTGAATGGCACCTCTACCTCTCCAAACTCAAAGCCCTATTCCTCCAAAGCTTGTCTCTTTCTGTATTCTATGCATTGCTGCCTTGGGTTGCCAGCCACCCAATATCCTCCTTCTGCCTTGGCTCTTGCCATCCTGGTAGCTGCTTGTCTCAGTTTTACCCTTCTGTTACCCTGGAGGTAACCTCAACTGTCCCCACACTCAGCACAGCGGCCCTTGTGGTTTTAGAACACATCCATCCAATCAAGTCCCTCACAAGCCACACTCTTCCAGAAGTTTCCAAATGCCACTCAATGTTGTGCCCACAGCACACACATGGCATCTACTCATACAAATTCATTTTCTTTCTTTTTTCCCTTTAGTACTGGGGATTGTGCCTAGAGCCTTGTGCATGCTAGATAAGAATTCTATTACTGAGTTGCTTTCCCCAACCCTTTCTGTTGTCTTCAAACAGAGCCTTGTTCTGTAGCCCAGGCCGGCCTAAAATTTGGTCCTTCTGCCTCAACCTCCCTACTGAGATTATAATTACATGCTCCACACCCAGCTCATTCACTCCGCCTCAGGTCCTGGGCATTGAACACAGGGCCTTGCGTATACTAGGTAAGCACCGTTGAAGTATGAATTCAATAAACACATATTGGAAGGAGAGTGAAATTTCCCAGATAATGAAATTCAGGCTTGTTCTCAGTAAAAGGCCTGAGGGCTTTTTAAAAAAAATATGATCTCCATTTAAAAGGTGATGGCCGCAACAGCCACTGAAACAGCTGTTGCAAGGGGTTCTTTCTTCTACTTAAGAGTTGTCAAAACAGAAAAGGTATGCTCAGACAGGGAGAACACTGAACAGGGCAAATGTTAACTGTCTTTACAACCCACTTCACTGTGCTGTGTACTTTAAACGAGAAACCATGCAAAGGCAAACACTTTACTACGCCTTCTGAGGTTGGCTCCGTCTCTAATAAGGATTAGGAGCAGGGCTGTGTGCCCAAGGTCACTGAGACTTGCTGGACAGTCCTGGCAGGTGTGGTTAGTCAGAGCTAGTAAGGCACACATACCGGTGGACTTGCAGTCGCAGGGAGGTGAATTTGACTGTTGTTATGAAAACCTTGCCTAGATTACTAGATTATTTCTGCAACCCAAAAGGTCACCCGTGATCCAGTCAGTCACTGGGTGACATCTATCACTCAGAAAACGACATCTGTATTCCCTCCAACAACCACTTAAGAGAGTGTTTGACCCACTGAATGCCAGACTGTGGCAGAGCCACGACCAGAGACAATGTGGCGCCAGGCCTATTCACACAAAGACCAGATTCTACTTACCCAGTCTGTCCCATAACGTCTTTATCTGAGTGCTGAGGAGATTAGGTGAGGATTAATCCTCAGAGTAAAGGACGCACGCAAAGGGATCATACCACTCAATATGAATGATCACTATCAAACATTTGAAATGTCTTGGTCATTTGTCATCTGGGTTGGTCTGGACACCACCTGGAGGGAGAGCTTGAGAGAGCATGAGCACACTCAGCTCCACAACTCAGGGAACGTTTACAAGTACCTATGGGAGGGGGAGTCCTTGACCCCAAGTACATGAAATGGCAACCTGTGCCAAATTATGGGACAGTTGTACAAACTGCCTGGAAGTCACCTGCTGGTCTTCCAGCAGAACACGGTGATGTGAGGAGAATCATTTTGAGCCTCTACCTGCTTTGGACAGACCCAACCCTACTGCCATAAAAGTCAGCTACATATGACCCAGTTGGTTTAGACAACCTTTGGTCCCTAAAGTTGGCTCAGTGAGCCTTAACCCAAGAAGACCACAACTGTTTCTGAGCTGTGGCCAGGCAGCCAGCATCCCTGCAGACTGACTTCTGTCATGGGAAGCCCACCCCACACGGTGCCAGCTCTGCCCTCCAGCTATGTTATTCAAGACTCCAGAAGCACAGGGACAAGCTAAGGCACAGGTGACACAGGTGACCCAGGCGACCCAGGCTGGAAAGGGCTCTTAAGCTGGGAAAGTACCAGGTGGGCAGCTGTGCCAGCTTTGGCAAGGGAAGGGCCCGAACTGTTGCAGGTCTTCGAGGGCAAAGGTATATGAACACTGCTGCAATTTCAAACAAATACAGAAAGAGGATTTCCTATTCCGCAGGGACGGAAAGTGCCCCAAGGGAAGGCTGACAATGAGGCAGTTCTTTCCCCACCACACAGAGCCGAGAGCAGACAGAGACGACCTAAGAAGGCCGGGCCTGCCCAAAAGGATCTGACACCCGGGCCCGCCTCACGCACCAGGCTCGGGAGCACCAGCCTCCGGAGCCCCCTAACACGCTGCGACCAAGGCACCAAGCACCTCCCGTGTCCCCTCTCTCAGTCTGCCCGTGCCGCCGATCAGCGCGCGATGACAGTGACACCCCCACACCCCGCGTCCAGCCGCCACGCCCACGCCGCGCACCCACCTCGGTGCCCGCACCGCACCGCT